TTTAAAAGTTATATTAAGGAGGCATGTGCTCTAGAAGAGTACTGAGACATAACTAGTTGAAAAAAAAAGCCCCAGAAGAGGTTCAGGTACCTGAAAAGTAATGAAGAGATCTCAATAAGTTATGTCACAAGGGGAAAAATGGAACCAAAAAGATAAAATTGTCGACAACGTTTTTGATAACAATATCACGTGATTTTAAAGAGATCTTATATGAAAATAGAAATTTGGCCAAAAGCAAAAGGAAAAGAGAAAAGATGCAATGGAAATATAATTATTATTTTAATATGTGAAAATTATGGACCTGCAGTCCAAACACATCAAATACAAAGTTATTATGTGACATATGAATATTTTTGTGAAAATAAAGAATTTCATAAAGGTCTAGTGATTATGATTAGGCATAGTATTTTATGGTGGATGCAATAATTTTTGCATATATTACTAGTCTAGCAGTATATCAAAACGAAATATGCGTCTGTTAGATATCGTTATAGCCTATGCATGTGGCTCACTAAATAATGAGGTTTACATGAGAATTCTTGAGGGATTTAAAATGCCAGAAGCATTTATATAGAAGAAAATCATCCAATATTTAAAATATTATGTTGAATAAGATAATCTGAGTATACATATCTGGCTTAAAAAAATGTATTAGAAAATAAATAATTTTTATCTTACTTGACCCATAAATCAAGTTATTGAATGCATCAATGATTGCAAAATGATTGATTTTGTTATGATAATTTTGTCTGCAAAATATATTCAACTAAATAGACTAGAAGTCCCATATATTTATTCTATAATAATATTTACATATATTGTCAATATTACGTGTTATAATTTTATTGGTAAAAATAAGTTTCTGCAGGTATGCATGTAAATAACGAAATTAAGATTGGATATATAGTTCTATAAAACTATTATATGGTATCATTTTGTTCAAATTAAATTAATCATGCTGATGCAAGATATATTATGGTGCTTTTTTAGAATAACCTTTCTTTGCAGTTTTCTTAGTGCAAGTGAAGAATATATTGATAATTCCACATATCTAGAAGATATGTTAGAGGAATACATTTCAATATAAGCTGATGATGATATACTATGCATAGTTCGACTAAAAAGAAGATATGCTTGAAAAAGCATTGGACGACTTGAGAAACTAGTATATTTTATTATGATAAAATGATATAGAGTTATGCTGTTGACAGGGGGAGCAAAGATCATGTTGTACTCTTTTCCTTAACCAAGGTTTTGTCCCACAGTGTTTTCCTGGTTGAGATTTTTAATGAGGCAACCTTAATATATATTGTGTAATCTTTTTCCTTCACTAGGTTTTTGTCCCACTGGGTTTTTCCTAGTAAGGTTTTAATGAGGCACAATATTTGTTATGGACATCCAAGGGGGAGTGTTATAAATATTGTATATATGTGGATATCCATAACCCCCAACTCTTAGGATTCTTCATAGAATTCTTGATCTTTGAATGTCTTAAACCCATAACCCCCCAATGAATGACTTTAGAGGAGTTTTTCATGTTTATTGTCATTATTCCCTTATTCATTTCTTTGTAACTCTTGGATTAGACTTTTATGGTTGGGGCCTATAAATAGAAGCCACATACAAGGCATTTGTACCCATATATGTATATGAGAAATACTCCTTGTTTTCTCTCCCAATTCTTGTCTTGATATCCTCTTTCTACTCTCTAACCCTCTCATTTTTATAACAATTATACAATTTTTAAAAAAAATTAAAATGAAAAAAATTACTTGACAATTTACTCTACAACTGTCAAGTATTTACTTAACTTACTTAACAGTTCGTATATATAATGACCATCAAGTAATGGTTTATTTTGTTCTAATTATATCTCATCATATTTAACTGTTTCTTTTTAACCATCAAGTCGTATTAAGCGTTAACTACGCGCAAATCTGTAGTGCTGAAACCATAACGGAGAAATGAAGAAGATGATGGACAACGATGAAAACGAACGTTGCCATTAATTGTTGATTTCTCTTTAAGTTTCGAATGGAAGCTAGAGAACACTTGACATATCATGATGTAATTAATAAGTGAAAAAAAATTGAGAACACCAGACGAGATGTTCCACTGAATAAAAAAAACGTCAGGGATTTTCGATTTATAAAATGATAGTTTAAGTGAAAATATCTAATGATAATTTATATTTCAAATTTATGACATTGAAGTTATCAATATGAAATCTAAATTTTTTTTATCAATTCAAAACATGACAAAAGTAGTATAAATTGAACAATTGTTTGATTAAATTAAAAATATAAGTATAAAAAATTGGAATAATCACGTTTGGGTATTTTATTTTTGTGGAGAAATATATGATTGTTAATGATATAAAACAACAGATCTCCATCTGAATTCTATTAAAGGGTTTCCTTGGTTGGCCAAAGAAGCAATATAATGATCGATTCTCAACAAACGCAAAATGTACTCTTAACATTGCACTTTTAAACATCATAGATCATCGATCTTAATTGACTTATTATTAAATTTTTATGAAAATAGAAAAACCCACTCTTGCCTATGGCAAGGCATTATTCATTGAAATAGTACTTGTCTAACTGAATATAGAATAAGTAATAATAATCTATAACAACAAATAAATTTATTTTTATATATTAAATTGAACTAAGTTTAGTTTAGGGAAAATTGCCCATAGATGTCTATTTAGAGAAGTAGTTGCCTAATAATACCTCAATTCAGTGTTATATGTTTTCGTAAACTCATGCTTTTTCCATATTTCAGATGCCAATGAACAATTAATTTTCCAAACAAATATCTATGAGCAATTTTTTTCTATGTATATTGTTAATAATTTTTTTAAAAATAGTTATGATAATATAAAATTGTGAAACACAACATTAGCTTTTTTGAATCCAATATAGTTTCAATTGTCTAAAGGAATCATAAATGTCAAGACATTATTATTAATGAAACAAAAGGAGCTTTAACTAAACTTTCCTTGGGAAAAATGGAAGAGCAAAAGCAAATGGTGCGTGATGAAAGCGAGAAGGGAGAAAAACGCGTGTGTGGAGGGGCAGAACACGCCATTTGAAGTGACATGAGACTGACTATAAGATAAAGGGAGAAAAAGCCAAAGGTAATTAAAGGAAGGAAAAAATCACCACCATTTTTGGAATGCTTTTACCGTGATTCATCTTCTGCTATCTTAAATATAAAAGTCAAATAATTAATTTACAGAGAGGCTAAAAAAATTAGTTTAATTATTTATAAAAAACATGTGATAGTTTTTTTTAAGATACTCCTCTGGTCTTTAATATGATACCTATTTAATTAATTTGATTAGATTAAAGAAGTTAGGTAAGTTAGTTAATTATAAGAAATATGACATATTTTTCTTAAAACACCATAATCATCTTCCTTAATCTCTCTCTTCTACTTGATTATGGTTGAGAGAGATCCATAGAGGTAATTTAAGAAAAAATGATAAATATGATAAATAAATCTTATATTTAAAACTAAAATCAATTCAATAATTAGGTCATATATTAAGAACAAGAGGAGTATAAAATTGTGAAACACAACATTAGCTTTTTTGAATCGGTTTCAATTGTCTAAAGGAATCATAAATGTCAAGATATTATTATTAATGAAACAAAATTAGCTTTAACTAAACTTTCCTTGAGAAAAGTGGAAAAGCGAAAGCAAATGGTGCATGATAAAAGCGAGAGGGGAGAAAAACGCGTGTGTGGAGGGGCAGAACAAGCTATTTGAAGTGACATGAGACTTCGAGTCTGTTTTCTGACTGCACTGAGGCAGTTAATTCAATTTACAGGGGATGCGATCCAGCTCATTCATTCAGAGACATTATTGAAGAAGCCAGGGAGCTTGTGAGTAGGGACTGGACAGTGGTCCTGAGCCATGCCTCACGTAAGGAGTTAGCGATTGCGGACTGGCTTGCTAAACAGGCCCATGCTCTAGTGGGAAACTACCGAATCTATGATCAGGAGCCATCTGAGAGGAATCAAATGGATAGTGACGATAGAGGCTAATACTTTTCTCCTTTGACTTTATCACGCGTTGTGTTCTTTTCCTTTGTTACTTGTTTACTTTTCGGTTGGCTGTTTCTAGTCCGTGTCTTTTAGTTATGTCGTCCCGCTTGTAAATGATACTTTGGTTTATATTTGTTAATGCATGATTCAGTTCTATAATTAAAAAAAAAAAAAAGGGACATGAGACTGACTATAAGACAAAGGGGGAAAAAAGACAAAGGAAATTAAGGGAAGGAAAAAATCAAAGTGGAATTAGTCTCAACCTCATGTTTGTAATACTATTGCTTGATTTTTAACATAAGAGCTAGTTTGATATTCAATTTGATTCTAAATATAATGCCTCAATCCATTTTATCTCTTATATTTATTCATTTTTTTCCCAAAAGGTAGTTCTTGTAGTAGTTACACTTGTTAAAGGTTTTATTAAATGGTAATTCTAACTAATACACATGATTAGCACAAGTATTTTAGAAAAAGCAACACCTATTTATTATAAATAACTAATTTAACTAATTGTTTAATCTACTTAAATTTGTCAACTAGCTCTTATATTAAATATTAGAAGTAGTAATAATTAATGATGGCATGCATGCATGGTCCTTTTCTACTTTTTCCCAGTGGTAAATACTATTACTAATTGCCCCACTTCACATACTCTAACATTCCACTCCTCATGATATCAGTTATATATGTGTTGACAACTTTGTCTCAATTATGAATGAAAATATCTTGATATTTTGATCAAAGTACATACTTAGATTGGATTTATACTAACAATAACAATTAGTGAAGAAAATCCGGTCTTTTATTAGTTTAATTTTGATGAATGGTTGTTACCATAGTGACAAAAAGGAGCATAGTAGTAGCCAGTGGACTGGCTTATATATAAGGATGACTTAGATGGAACATTATCAATATCTCCAAAAGCAAATTATAAACATGTTGCTCTCTTTTCTCCTCCGCCTATTCCTCCTTCTTCCTCTCTTCTCCGTTCTCATTGAACACTGTTATTCTAAACCAGATCGAAAGGCAAGAAATCCACCGTACTCTTCATTTACAAGTTCCCTCTCGTACATATATAAACATCATTTAATCTCCTCTCTCTCTCTCTATATATATATATTAGATCACTCTGTTTTCCACACCTTTGTTATTAATTAATGAATTTTCTTGCAACTTTATGGCTTCTATATATAACAATTGAATTTGTTATTCCTTGCATCTTATTTATTATGCAGACATATATCGTGTACATGGGTCATCATCCAAAGGGCATCAACCCCTCATCCTTGCCTTTGCTACACGCCACCATGGCTCAAAACGTCCTTGGCAGGTTGCAACCTGAAGCTTCTGCTCTTATATTGCTATGACGACTTGTATATATGTTCTACTCCATCTAGTCCTTATGGTTAATTAATTAACGTGCCACCGATCCTATTTGTAGAATCAGATAGTTAATTGACAGAGTTTAAAAAGATTAATTAAGTTAGTTATTTATAAAAAAAATACGTTTAATTTTCTTAAAATATCTCCTTCAATCATTTGCATCAGCTTGATGGAAAATTTTCTTTAGATATGCATGGTCAAGAGGGATAGTTTGAAAAAAAAAATTATAAAGCAACTAAGATCTTATATTTCGAATCAAAACAAACCTAATAACTTGCTCTTTTAGGACAACAAGGAGTATAAATTTAGGAAATTATGTTAAATAATGATTCATGGTAAAGTGTTCTGTTGTAAGCATGACTTAAATTAAGGGAAATTGCGATCAAGTCCCAATGAAGGGATTTAATTACCCTAAAGTCCATTGACAACTAAAAAACATGAAATAACAACTTTCATTGTGGGAAATGACAATTGGTTTATGCTACTTACTTATCATTGGGGACTTTAGAATAATTAAATTCTTTTTTTGGGATCTGATTGCAATTCTCCCATTAAATTAATGTCAGTTCAAAAAAGGTAAACTTTTCCAATTTAAAAGTGGATAGAAAGAATTAGCGTATATCATCCTTATAACTATAAGACTAACCTTTTTAAAATGAATGGGAATTATCTGATTGGTCTTGCAGCGATTTTGCACCGGAATTAGTACTGTACAGCTATTGGAAGAGCTTCAATGGATTTGTCATGAAGTTAACTGATGAAGAAGCCAAAACAATGGCCGGTACAAAGATTAATAACTTGAAATGATCCATCACAAAATAAATTGAAAATTAAGAGCTAACTTTTGTTGTTAAACATTTAATTTATATATGTTTGATCTCAGGAATGGAGAATGTAGTGTCTGTTTTCCCCAACAGAAGGAACAAAATCCATACAACAAGGTCGTGGGATTTCGTTGGTCTTTCCCAAAAAGTGAAAAGAAGTGATTTGGAGAGCGACGTAATTGTGGGTGTTCTTGATTCAGGAATTTGGCCAAAATCTGAAAGCTTCAGTGACAAAGGATATGGTCCTCCACCTGCCAAATGGAAGGGCTCATGCCACAACTTCCCTTGTAACAAGTTAATATCTCTCCTCATAATCTCTTCACCATGGCATTAAAATCCAATCCGGGTGGGACGCCGGTCAAACCAATGAATTGGTGAGCCAATATCTTAATTGGTTCAGTCAAGAGTTTTGGACATATCAACCGGATTGGATTTTATATTCTTTCTCCTCATCTTCTTGAGCATGAAACGATGTTGTTTGAAGTTTTTTTTTTTTTAATATTTATAAAAGTAGAAGTTTGTCATAGTTTTTATTTACTAGCTCTGTTTTGTTGAATTGTGTGCGGTTTATCCGTAAACTTTTTCATTTATCTGTGGATAAATGTCTCTTTTATTTAAATAATACTCTTGGTTCCATGTAAGTATATTTTAATTATATTATATTATGTAATCATGATTAAGTTCACCTTTGTTCAACCATAATTAAACCCCTAACATTTGAACTGCTTCTACCAATTTATATAACCAATCCAGTTTTCAGTATCTTCCCATTCATGCACACACATTTCTACATGTAGATAAGTAGCATAATATTGGATGAAGACTCGCACGATTCTTATTTTATACATGCATATATACGCAGAAAAATAATAGGAGCGAAGTATTTTAACTGTCCAATGGAATTTGATAAAGATGATATAAAAAGTCCAATTGATACAAATGGACATGGTACACACACTGCATCAACAGTTGCTGGAAACTCAGTTGGATCAGCCAGTCTACTAGGCTTGGGTTCCGGCACAGCGAGAGGCGGCGTTCCGTCGGCACGAATTGCGGTGTACAAGGTGTGTTGGGGCAACAGGGGTACATGCCACGACGCAGACATCTTGGCTGCATTTGATGAAGCAATTTCTGATGGTGTTGACATTATTTCCCTTTCTGTGGGAGCTCGAGGAGGGAACCCTGCTGAGTATTTTGAAGATGCAACTGCAATTGGAGCTTTTCATGCCATGGCAAGAGGCATATTAACATCTAATTCTGCCGGTAACGATGGTCCTGAGAGTTACACAATGAGCACCTTAGCTCCTTGGTTGATTTCTGTGGCTGCTACCACTATTGACAGAAAGTTCTCTACCAAACTTCAATTAGGCAATGGCTTGGTTTTTGACGTAAGTGGTATTTAATCATAATCATTCTGATTAAAAAAGAAAACTTTTAAATGTGAACACTTTTTTTTTTGGTTAATCTTTTCTATACTGGTTAGCAGTGACCAGTGTAATTAGCTTTTTCTACACCGGTTTCTACACTGACAGTATCTGTATCAGTTCTCGGTTGGAGAACCGGTGTAAAAAGGCCCTTTTAACTATTGTGAAAAGGTAGTTTTGCACTACTAGGGCAACTTTAGCTCCCTAATTATATGCTCTTATCTCTTCATTTTACAATTTTAGGGAATCTCCATTAATACGTTTGACCTCAAGGATAAACAGTATTCATTGATTCATGCTTCAGACGCTCCCAATGTCAGAGGTGGATTTAATTCATCTTTTTCTAGGTACATATGTTGATTATGTAATACTATCTTCGGTCTTAAACATGAGATCTAGTCTACAAGCTAGATTTTATATTTAAGATGGCACGTAGTATTTTATTTTGTTGATTACATAGGGCTATCGATTAATAAGGTGATATGGTGTCGCAGGTACTGCTTCCCAGGCTCTTTGGACAGAGAATTGGTGAAAGAAAAGATTGTTATGTGTGATTATCAATTCGCAGATAATGAGGTTGCATTCATAGCTGCTGGTGTTGTACAAACAAGCCCATTTCCTAAAGATTATGCTGTTTTATCTGCTCTTCCTGCAATTGACATTAGTTTTGAAGATGGTAAACGCATACACTCCTACATGAAATCCTCTAGGTATACAATTCTCAAACTCAAAGGCCTTTAATTGCAAGTGTTGTGTAGGTTTCTTTTCACCTCTTACGTATATTGTACTATACAAAACAGCAAAATAATGACAGAATTTCATAGCTATATCAGTTTAGCAATGAAATTTTGTCGCTAACCAATTAGTAACAAGCTTTTCTGTGATAGAATTTTAAAATTTTGTTATTAAATTTCATCACTAATTTTCTTGTTTTTTTTGTAATACTCCTCCGATCCTTAATATAGGACCCAATTGTTGAGTTGATTTTGGTCCTAAATATAAGACCCATTTCTCATATTTATCAATTTTCTCTAAATTACCCCTATAAATACTTCCTCAATCATGATCAAATAGAAGAGGAAGATGGGGTATTAAGAAAGATGATTATGGTGTTTTAGGAAAAATGTGTCACTTTTCTTATAATTAACCAACTTACCTAACTTCCTTAATCTAATCAAATTAGTTAAATGGGTCTTATATTAAGGATCGGAGGAGTAATATATTTTTATACGCTACATGGTACATGTCATTATCAGGAATCTAACGGCAACTATATCAAGGACTTGCACTGAAAAGGACTTATCCGCTCCATATGTAGCATCCTTCTCATCCAGAGGTCCTAATCCCATCAATCCTGATATACTCAAGGTGTCATTATCTTATCTTTCAAAGAACCTCTGCTTTTGAAGTTTTATTAATTACAGGGTAAATTAATTCGTCAGTGCTTATAGTTTTGCCTGATTTTTAATTAAGTCCGTGTAACTTTTTTTTTTTTCAATTGGACCTTTATAGTTTTCCTAATTATAGATGTTAGTTCCTATGCACATAACTTGTTAATTAGGATTGGCATGCATGTTGACCAAACGACATGTGAATTGTCACAAAATAAAAATAAAAAGAGGTTTTTAAGAAATGATGGAATAAAATTTCTTTATTATTAATATAAAAATAAAAATTTTATTATTCTCATAATCTTCTTCTTGCATCTATATATAATATGCAATCTAGTTTATTTTGATTTTATTTAGATTCATGTGACAAAATTGATCGGAGTGTGTGCTGAGTGAGAGCCACATCCTTATCTAGCTACTAACACTATTTCTCTTGTAAATTAACAAGTTATATGAGCGTAACTACCGATACTTATAATTAAGAAAATTATAAGGATCCAATAAAAAAAACTATAAGAACTTCATTAATTAAAATTGAGGTGAAATTATAGGCACTTGCATGTTAATTTTTGTTTGATTATAACAAGGATGAATTGATGGTTGAACCATTTTGTGTTATATAATTTTACTTTAATCATTATAGCCGGACATAAGTGCTCCAGGAGTGGACATTTTAGCAGCATGGTCTTCCCTAGCTCCCATCTCAAATGTGAAAGGTGACAACAGAAACAGACATTTTAATATCATTTTTGGCACTTCCATGGCCTGCCCTCATGTTACTGCCTCCGCTGTTTATGTTAAAACATTCCATCCTAAGTGGTCACCTTCTGCAATCAAGTCTGCTCTTATGACAACTGGTAATAATCAGGGAATATTTGATTTTAATGTTAATTTGATTGTTTTCTTTTATCATTAATTGTTATTTGCATTTAGCTTTAATATTCTAGCACGTAAAGTTCTCTGCTCAATTCTTTGGAGTTAGAGTTGAGAAGATATTTGGATTAGCTTTTTAGAAATAATTTTACAGTGTTCGAAATAAATATATAAGAAGATTTTTGTCTCAATTTTTGTCAGATTATTATTTTTTTAATTGATTATGATGTTTTCAAAACCCCCTCTAGGCTATATATAGTCCACGAAACATTTTAGTTTTTGTAAAAGTCAATGATTGAGTTTTTTGTAAGAGGTGTATGGATGGAAATCAGATAATAGTTTTATAAGTGATTTTATAGTATATGAAGTCAATATGTGAAAAAATTTATTTTGATTTGCAAAAAAATACTTTTAAAAAATACTTTTACAAATATCTAAACACCTGAAAAATATTGTATACTGAGTTTCTCCCTCCGCCGACCTTTCTCTTCTCCTTTGTTGATCTAATTTTTTCAGTTGTTTCTTGCTTTTTGTCCCCACATTCTCTTTCTCTTTTGTTTCTCTCTTTTCCTCCTTTTGCCTTCTTCGTCCTGTATCAAAGTGTTTATGATGAATTTTGATAATTGCTGTGTAATTCTGTAGCTACTCCTTTGAGTGCTGCGATGAATCCGGACGCAGAATTTGCATATGGAGCTGGGCAAATCAACCCCGTGAAGGCACTGAATCCTGGCTTAGTTTATGATGCTAAGGAAATTGATTATGTGAAGTTTCTGTGTCGCCAATCTCATTATGACGACAAAAAACTTCGATCCATTACTTGGAATCACAGAAGTAGTTGTGCAGAATTTGATAAAGAAAAACATGGCGGGGACTTGAATCTTCCATCCTTTGCCTTGCAAGTTAATGTGTCGTTGGTTTTCCCACGTTCCTTTCATAGGACTGTGACTAATGTTGGATTCTCTACATCCAAATATGAAGCTAAGATCATTGCCCCTCCCTCGTTAACTATTCAAGTAAAGCCTAAAGTTCTTCACTTCACATCATTGGGGCAGAAAAAGTCATACAAACTTACCGTGGAGGGAATAGCCAATGTGGATATACTCTCTGCCTCTTTGATTTGGGATGACGGCACTTTCCAAGTAAGGAGCCCTATTGTGGTGTATAGTGATCAAATTGCCTTCCATCCTCATGAGGGAGAAGAAGCAAATACCTAGCTTGGTAGGACTTTTAATTAATTAATATGGGAAATGGAACTACTCTCATGATCCCATATATGTGTAAGAATAATGACACTAAGAATAAAACATTTAATCCTCCAGTTCATAATAAAAGATCTAATTAGAAAGTTGGTTTTGATTCTAAATCTAAGACATATTTTCTACATTTATCATTTTTTTCCTTAAATTACTCCTAGTCATCATACTCCCTCAACAATAATTAAATACAATAATATTACCTCTGGTCATTAATATAAGACCCTGTTTGACTTTTATTTTGGTTCTAAATATAAAACCCCAATCCACTTTGTCTCTCATATTTACTCAAGTTTTTCCAAGATAGTCCTTCTAATAATTATAGTTCTAGTCAATATACTTGATTAGCAAGGATATTTTAGGAAAGACAACGCCTATTTAGGACAAATAACTAACTCAACTTACTTCCTTAATCTCCTCAAATTAGTCAACTGGCTCTTATAATTAGGACCAGAGGTAATAATTGATTAATACACCCATATATCCTATAAAGTAAGTAATGCTTGTTACTTTAGAGAAATTCACTGATGCCAGTGAAATTTTACCGTTTGTTTAAAAAATAATTTTAGGTTTTATTAAAAAAAATTTCAAAATGAAATTTTACACATTAAAAAATTCCTTTTAAATATATAAACTGTCATTTGAGTCTGAGGTTTAAAAAATCATTTTGAATCCATAAACGTCATTTTAAAAAACGTTCTCCTTTAGGGAAATTAATGTACATATGTAATTATCCCATGTTGCCAAAAAAAAATATAATTATCCCATATATCACTAGAAAAAAAATATATTCTCCTTTAGGAAAGTCTCTTAAACTTATGAACCATGAATCATTAGGATTCAAGCTCTGATATGCTGTAAATATATCAAAAGAAGATAATAGAAGGGAGAATCCTTTTCAGGATATAGAACTTAAAAAATTGATCGAATGCACAATTATTATCTCTATAAATATTATCAATCACATCAAGTTGAGAAGTCTCAAACCTAATATTTTATCCAGAAGCATGTAATTGGAGCTGCTGCATTAGTTGGTGAAGTTTATACAATACCACTGAAATTGTTAATGATCTTAAGGAATCAAACCATGGTAGAGGGATGGGAGGAATTGGAGATTTAATAATTAAATTGAATTAAGGTTTTGAATTTAAAATTGAAAATGAGTGGTGAGGAAGAAAAGAAAAGAGATTTAGTTAAGCATAATTTAGTATTTTTAAATTTATATTTTAGTATTTAGTCTTTTTTTAGTAATTATACTTTTTAATATCATCTTCAATAAATATTATTCTCTCTTGGTTCTTCCCTCTAATGTCCCCTTCTTTTGAAGGGAAAAAAAAGCTACTCCCCCCTCCTACTATAATGCATTATTTGTTATCAATAAAATATATATTAATTCGTCGTGGGTGGATATAAAACCAAACATCTACCACTCACACTTCATGGATTAACCAGGTGCTCTGTCATGATCGTATAGGCATAATGTCTCCCTTTTCCTTTCTCATATACATAGTGTTTACACTTATGAAATTTAACAGTAGACATGTCTGAGACACCACCATAAGTATGTATGTTTTAGTTGATATTTCTGTGACCCACATATCACTTTAATTAATAAGAAACAATTGGTTTCCTAACATGACTGCTATATATTGCATCTAATATGACCACAGGATATATCTGTTAATAAGATAGTAGATGCTGAAGTACACCTATGTGATATGGTCAAAATCAAATAATATCAATAAAATGATTGGACCTTCCTAAGACTTACACGGCAATGTAGTAGAGATCCACCGGCTTCCCATTTGTGGTTTTATAGCACATACGTACTCTATAAATTCATGTCACGAAATTACTTTTATCTTGTAAAAGTGTACCCCTTTCTAATTTTTGTTTTGGGTGATCCGTTCTAATTTGTACTTTAATATTTTTGTTCTATTCATTTGAGAAATTAATGCCTTTTTATTTTATATTTTAGTTAAATTACATTTTAATCATTACTGGTTTTACTCTAGCTTTAACTCCAATTGAATCACGAATCCTCATACAACTTCCTCAACTAGTTCAATGAAACATGGGCTCTGTTTTCAGTACCATGCTTGCCACAAGTGATATTATTATGCTGAAAAGGGATTACTCACATAAGATCATGGAATGATGCATCTAAAAAAGAGAAAGGCAATTATTTATATATAAAACAAGCTTCATTTCAATACAAAACACAAATTAAGTTAAGCTTCTGCTTGGAGAGTTTGATTTCATTTCTGTCCTTCTGCTTCTCAATTGCCTATTATCTTTTCTGACACCGCTTGAACCATCTCTTTTGCTTACCTGCACCAGCTTGGAAATTGTATACATCAAGGAAGAAACTTTTAATGATCTCCTAGAAAAGGGAATTTCTTTTAAGATGTCCCTTTTTATGTGGCATCCACAAATTGATGTTTACTTAATTCCCCCGAAGCAGGGGACGTGTGAAGTTGGCTAAAGTTAATAATTATAGGCTACAAACTTGTTGAAATTGTTGGGATCAGACCACATGGGCAAAGGATGATTTTAAACTTGATAGAAATTCCTTAACAACAATATTAAATTAGATTTATGATGGAGTGACAGTGAGGTCCCAAAATTTCAATTTAATAATAGTTAGGTACTAGAAGGTTTTAGGATTAAGATACAAATTTGTTCTAAAAATTTTTATTCATGAGCAATGTTACCCTGAAAGTTCTTTTGAGTTCAAGGTTGGCTCGAGAGTGTTAAAATGGAACAATGTTACCTCCTTATTATTAAAAATATTAGCAGTCGACGATAATTTTTTAATAGTCAACATTAGTTTTTTAATGAGATGAGGCAACGTTTTGAAACTTCCAAATAACGTTGAACCCAAAAAAACTTTTGGAGCAACATTACTCATGAATAAAACTTTCAGGACAAATTTACATCTTAACAGATGAGTTGTAAATATGATTCAGATGGTTGCAAATATGAGTCTCAGTTGCAACTCATTGGGAATGACTTGTGAGACTATTTGACACTGTCATATTTACAAGTGATTGTTCAACCAGATCTTTTTCCACTGTTATTATAAATTGTTCTTTTAGAGGGATTAATTAAGAACGTCATTTCCTCTTAGATTCATACCTTGAAATGCTCTTCAGGGAATTGATGATAGCTTGGCACAGTTTTCCTCCTTGACACAGTCCTTCTTCTACCTTTAAGGTTGTTCTTTGCTTTTGTTGCTGGTGGAAGAATGAGTTCATGATCTTTTTTTAGTACTTCTTGTGAAGTTGTGGAATAGTTATCAAATTGAAGAGGCGCTTCATTGGACCCACAGCTCTCTTTTTCTTCCCTGGCCACATCTAAAAACCGCTTTCTCACTGTAAATTTCTGGTGGTTACCACCAAGGCCATGGCGGCTTTCATCACCTGATGCAGTGTCTGGAAGGCGAGTCGCCATCCACCGTTCAAGCCAACTCCAACTCATGTTTGGTTCTGCGTTGCTGTTATATTTGTTTGATTTTCTCTTCGAACAGATTCGCAGCTGCAGAAAAAAAGATATTTCAGTCCAACACTTTTATGTTATAGAGTTTTGAGTCTTTTGAAAAGGAGCAGAGAAAAACTGGAGAGAGTATGTAATGAAGTTATTGAATGAGATCATTTTGATTAACACTGTCTAAAAGATTTGGTCACTGATACAGCACAATATAATAGCACTGTGTGATTCATGTAGTTGATTTCACTTAGTGAGATAAAACTTCGTTATTATTGTTGTTCCAATCCTAAAAATAAAAACTAGATAACAAATTATAAAAAATTAATTATTTGTAAAAAAAAAATGAGTATTGATTTTCCTGAAATGCCTTATTTAATCATTGGAGTTGAAATTTACCCATTTGATGTAAACCTCTTTAATATATGCAATCGATCAATAGGAATACTTTTATGCTACAAAGAGAAATAGTTTGGAGGGAAAACTATAAATTCACGAGACAAAATGGATCAAGATCTTGTACAAAATAAAATCTCTCAACTAACTCTTATATTTAAGAATGGAAAGAATGTCTTCATATATAAACTCTGATATATTAACTCACTAATGTTTAAGAATTAATATTTTACCCACCAAAAAAAAAAATTCTAAGAATGGAGTTGAATGAGTTGAATAATATCAGGATAAAATTGTGTAAGTTGTACCTGTTGTGAGAAAGCATAGGCCAGTGCTCTCTCTCTCCTGGTTGTTGAAAATTATATACCCAATATGAGTCAAAAATCATACCTCCAATAATGAAAACATAAAAATTCTGATCTCAAAACGGGTAGACATATATATACAAATGGAGAATATACATTTTTCTCATAAGAAATAGAGACATATACATGAAGACACAAATAAAACTATACGCTACAACACACACATACACCAAACAGAGCAACCTAGCCTAAACTAACATTAATTTTTTTTTTCATGAATTGGAAACCAAACTACAAAAGACTAAATAGTATCAGCTTGCTGAAGAAGGGTAGTAATACTCTTGGTTCCAATGATCTGTAGTCCTGGGTTCTCCCAAAGCTAACCGAAACTAACATTGGATTATTAAAAATGAAAAATTCTCCCTTTATAAAGAGACCGCACACACATACTGAACAAGCTAATAAAAAACACGTTATTTATACAATAGGAAATTACATACAACAAAAAAACAATATCTACTATCATGAACCTTAAAGATTATCAAGTTGGATTATAACAAAGCATAAATGTAAAACTAAATAATTCTGGGTATTTGATAAAAGATCGTTATTTGACTCATCAATCTTGGATATCCAGTGCCACAGACCCTCCCTTTCTATTCCTCTTCTCTGAAATGTTATCCCACCAGCTGCTCTGTTTTCCCGCATTGTTGGAGGAAGCAAGGGACACAGCGCACGAAAGAATAGAACGATGGGCTGGAGGTCAAAAATTTAAAAATTAATAAGAAATTACATGGATGGATGAGATTGAGTGAAAGCTTCGACACACTAGATGGAATATTTAAAACGGTGTCGTTGGAATTAGTTGCCTTTTATCACCGTCCATGCAATTTTTACAAACAAATGGTCCAGATTTTGTTTAACTCATCCAACGACGTCGTTTAAAGAAAAGGATGGCAACGAGTGGAAAAGATATTGCGGAGAAGTCAAGTCCCATGAAAATGATCTTATTAAGGTCGGAATGAGGAAATGTCAGTTATGAGTACAAAATCGATTTTAGAACATGAGAAATCAATTTTGTATGGTCAAGCACAACAAAATGTGAAGAAATTTTAAAAAGCACTTAAAAAATATTTTTAAGCAAGAAACGATTTTAGAACATGAGAAATCAATTTTATATGGTCAAACACAACAAAATGTGAAGAAATTTTAAAAAGCACTTAAAAAGTATTTTTAAGTTTCGCATGTCTATATCAAATCCCATAAAATCATTTTTAAAAAGCTAATACAAACACTTTTGACCAAAAAAAAAAAAGCTAATACAAACACAACAAATTATAGTGTTACAGAAATCGATTTTGGGAGCTAAGAGGGAGTTACTTTGGATAAACCAGTATTTTCTGCTGAAATTTCCCAATATTATATATATATATATATATATCTCTCTCTCTCTCTCTCTCTCTCTTATGCTGGGGTTTTTTGTACTTTATTGGGCTAATGGGCCTAATTGTGTCCAACGATACATTTGGTATTTTGTTGTGTAAATGTCATGTTTTTGGTAAAGTAATAAGGTTTAACTCTAATTAATTTTGAGATAAAAGTACACCCAAGGTGTATCCAATACTTTAAATTATTCTTAGAGTTAGTCATGAAAAAAAAATTTCGAAAAACATTTTTTAATGGAATTAGTGATGAAATTTGATGGCAACGATTTTCCATCGTAATTTTTTTCTCGGCAAAATTAGCAATGAATTAATGAGCAATGGATTAATGACATGCTCTAATGACAGAATTCCATGACTAATTCCTTTTTTGTTGTTAATGATATGATATAATTTAAAGACATGTTAATCTAAACTGGCAATTATTAGTGAAAATCTTTTACTTACATACACTTAATAAGGTAGTAATCTATTGTTTAATGTGTCATGTATTCAAAAGTTTTCTTAATTTAGGATCCGTTTGGTACAAGGAAAATGGAGGAAAGATGACGAGAAAAATTTTTAACAAGCTCAGTTTGAAATTTTTGAAATATAAGGAATAAAAAAAAGATGTGAAATAAAAAAATTAATTGAAAGTTTTTAATTTTATTTCTTAAATTTTTTAAATCGAGTTCACTAAAATTTTTTTCTTCCATCCAATTTCTTTGTACCAAACGTAGAGTTAAGATCTGAAGTCTCATTAGAGCTATGAGAAGTAGCCTTACATCATAAAACCCACTTACAAGTACACTTATGAGTTATCTTTACAACAAAATACGAAATTCGAGCCATTTGTTTACTCCCTAATGACAGAGATCAATTTTTCCAGTTGTTTGCATCTTAAATTAACTTTTTCTTTTTTGTGACAAAACATTTATCATCAGCATTCATTATTATTGTTTAATCAGATATTGACCCTGTGTTCTTATTATCAGCTAGTTGGAGATTTAACTTGATTTTAAATATAAGACCTAATCTACTTTGTTTCTTATATATATCCATTTTTCCTCAAAGTAGTCTTATGGTGATTGAGTTTCTATTAACAGGTGGTTTCAACACATATGATTAATAAGGATATTTTATAAAAAAAATTATTTATTACTACATTTGGTACTATCCTTAATATAAAACCTAATTGACTAATTTTAAAAAAATTAAGAAAGTTAATAAATTACTTTAAAATATTTATATTTATTCTTTTTTTCAAACTAATTTGTCTCATTTATAAATTGATGCATCATTTAATAATACATATAAGTATTTTAGAGAGATTATATAGCATATGCTATAATTAAGTAATTTCGTAATTTTCTTAATCCTTCAAATTAGTCAACTGAATCTTGCATTAACTAACTTTCTTAATATTCACAAATTAATTATTTATTTCTTATATTAATAATGACTAAAGGGGTATTAAGTATTGATCATAGATTATTTTTGTGAAGATAGATATTTGTACTGTTTACGGTCATTATTATCTCAGAGGGTCCCAATCACCCAACAATATTCAGTTACATGCTTATCATGATAATACTCCGACGAGGACTTGTGTTTCAATTTATTCGGTCCACGTTTTCTTATTCACACACTTCCATGGGGGAAAAAAAAATATTTCAAGCTCTAATAATTGCATTAACTGCAGACAACATGACTAATTGCATAATTTTTATATTTCTTTAACTTTATCTTTTTCGAAAAAAAAAGAAGTTCATAAATGGGACTAAAAATTAGAGGAAGAATGGAAAGTAAATGTAAGATTAATATATCTCATTGAACAAGTAATAATACTATACTCCTCCGGTCTTTAATATAGGACCCAATTGGTGAGTTATTTTGGTCCTAAATATAATACTCATTTCTCATATTTATCAATTATCTCTAAATTACCCCTATGGATACCTTTTCAACCATAATCAAGTAGAAGAAAAAGATAAGGTATTAAGAAATATGATTATGGTGTTTTAGGAAAAACGTGTCATATTTCTTATAATTAACTAACTTACCTAACTTCCTTAATCTAATCAAATTAGTTAAATGAGTCTTATATTAAGGATTGGAGGAGTATTATAATAATTTTGTATTTAACATCATGTATTTAATTTACATTTTTTCCATGTAAAAGCGTAAACTCATATGAAATGATCATGTTCCCCACTTAACCGTGTTACTCAATATCGCAAGTCTTCATCATAATGATGTAACCCCAATGACAACGAGTCTTCACCAGCTATCTTTATATTTCCTAAAGTTTTTTAATTGAAATTATATAAATTAATTACATGCAGATTATTTTAAGATCAAGGGAGGATTATTTAATTATCAAAATATCAAAAAAATATTATTAAGCAACTTTTTCTTACAAAACTATAATAATATCTTCCTATGACAAAGAATACAAATTAATTAATGCTATCAGATATTTAAGTCCACATTCCCTGCTCATTGATAAGGAATGCTCGTCCCCTGGATAGACACAGGCATCTTTTGCGGTATGAAAATATTTTAAAGATAAAGTTGCACTACAAATTATTTGAGTACTTAGTAATTAATACTAAGAAAATACTTCTAAGTCATGCAAAAACCAAAGCATGTCTGCGTCTGCCAAAACAAATGCTCATATGGGATGCTATGATTCACTTTCCAAATACCCTTATACATAGTGATTATTACTGCATACTTATAAATACTTGACATCAAAAAATTTAAAAAAATTTCAGCAACGATAAAAAAAGCAAGTATTTCCCAGGCCTAATGCCCCCCCTTTTTTTTCTCTCCATATTGTTTAACCATGGGTTTGACTGGATTAAATTTGTCATCGATAGTTGGAAATGACGGGGTAATGAAAGGTTTCTTGAGAGTATAACAGGTTTTTAAAAGTCCATACATGATTAAATTGAAATAATGTCAAACTAAGCATGCCAAGTTTGACAATCTATTCAAACAGAACCGTCAATTATATTGGGATAATTATTAAGAGGTCTTAAAGAAGAGATTTAATTATCAAAAAATTCCAATAACATGTGACCGGTCTAAATTTGTTGTTATTTCCCACTCTGAAACTTGTCATTGCTTACTCTTTACTTGTCAATGGACTTTAAAATAATTATATCGTTTCCTTAAAATCTGATTATAATTCTCCCAATTAGATTCACAAATCACCTAACCATTCCTTTACGACAATCTTAAAATATATGTTATTATACATTTTTAAAAAAAATTTAAATGGAACAAATTATTCGACAATTTACTCTAAAACTGTCAAGCATTTACTTAACTTACATAACATTTGCATATATAATAACCATCAAGTAATGGTTTAATTTGTTCTAATTCCGTCTCATCATAATTAACAGTTTGTTTTTAATCATCAAGTATTATTAAGTGTTAACTATGTGCAAATCTGTAGTGGTGAAACCATAACGGAATGGAAGAGAACAAAAATGAGGGTGCTTAATTAAGGGTTGGAGAATAATTTTGAAAGAGAACACTTGACATGTCATGATGTAATTAATAAGTGAAAAAAAATTAAGAGACATTGATGTTATCAATATGAAATGCAAAAAATTT